ATAATTAAAAAAATGAAAATATTTTTATAAAATAATTTTTGGAATTAATTAAACTTTGATAAATTATTTTAAAAAAATTTATTTTTAATTTTTCAAAAAAAAACAATTAATTTTCTATAAATTAATTTCTTAATTTTCATAAAAAATAATTAAAAAATAAATTTAGTCTTATTTTCAATTATTATTAATTACCTCATTTATTTTCATTTTTCTCTTTTTTGGGAAATAGACGATTTTTGGTAATTTATTTGGCTGACGCAAGCCTACTCAATCTTATAACTACCAACTTCACAAGTTTTTCATTTAAGGATTCTATTTTTATCCGAAAATATTTTCCAACATAAACTTTTTTTAAAACTAAATTTTCCAAATAAAGGTATCGTTTTTATTTATTTAAATTGCATAGATCGTTTATAATTTATATAATATAAGTAGCCGGAAGTATTATTAATATTTACTTATAATGATAAAGGTAATATTAAAAATATAAGACCGGAATTAAATTAACTGTTATGAAAAAACAGAAAAATAATTAAAAACGGAAATAAATTGGAATATATGTATTTTATTAAATTAAACTTTTTAAAGTGCTCTGATTTTTAATTTTTTATTTTATATATATATTCTCAATGATCACAAAATTAGAAAGTAATTTATTAAATGATTAAATTGTTTTGATAGGCAATTAAAAATTAAAATAAAAAAATTATTAAAAAAGATAAAAATAAATTTATATTGTGCAAATAAATTAAAGGAAATAAATATAAAAATAAATATAATTGTTTTTTGATTAGATCAACTAATTAATTAAAATAATTATAGAGGACGATTAAATATTAAATAAATAATTTTTTTAAATTTTAATAAGTAAATATTTAAAGAAAGAGAAAAAGCTGAAGTAAAGATAAAAAAATTAAATAAATAATACCTCAAAAGTCCAGGAAATCCATGCCTAAAGATATTTATAAATTCATATCTTTTAGCCTATTAAAGATGAACACAGAAATTTTAGAAAAAACGTTAACTATTGAATAAAAATTTGATAAAACTAAGTTTTATCATTAAACTACATAAAGGAAGTATGTTTAAGCCAAAAAATGTCCAAATTAGAAATAGATATTCCAATATACGTATCCTCAATTAATCTTTCTATTTTTATCTTCAAATTAATTAATTTAATCGATTCTTGGATAACTTTTTGGCCCTAAGAAAATTAAAAAAAGAGCAACTGCTCGATTAAATCAATGTGTGAAATACATGTGGAATAATTTTTTATTTTTTTATGAAGCGGAAATTGGAGTTGGACTTATAATGTACTCAAATAAAAAAAGAAATTATATGTAGAGAGAAAATAATGAGAAAATAAATACATCATAAGTATACATCATAAATACATCATCAAAATAAATACATCATCCTCTCCATTATTTTTCATTGATAGACAGCCTTATGATGTATTTATTTTCTCATTATTTTCTCTCTACATATAATTTCTTTTTTTATTTGAGTACATTATAAGTCCAACTCCAATTTCCGCTTCATAAAAAAATAAAAAATTATTCCACATGTATTTCACACATTGATTTAATCGAGCAGTTGCTCTTTTTTTAATTTTCTTAGGGCCAAAAAGTTATCCAAGAATCGATTAAATTAATTAATTTGAAGATAAAAATAGAAAGATTAATTGAGGATACGTATATTGGAATATCTATTTCTAATTTGGACATTTTTTGGCTTAAACATACTTCCTTTATGTAGTTTAATGATAAAACTTAGTTTTATCAAATTTTTATTCAATAGTTAACGTTTTTTCTAAAATTTCTGTGTTCATCTTTAATAGGCTAAAAGATATGAATTTATAAATATCTTTAGGCATGGATTTCCTGGACTTTTGAGGTATTATTTATTTAATTTTTTTATCTTTACTTCAGCTTTTTCTCTTTCTTTAAATATTTACTTATTAAAATTTAAAAAAATTATTTATTTAATATTTAATCGTCCTCTATAATTATTTTAATTAATTAGTTGATCTAATCAAAAAACAATTATATTTATTTTTATATTTATTTCCTTTAATTTATTTGCACAATATAAATTTATTTTTATCTTTTTTAATAATTTTTTTATTTTAATTTTTAATTGCCTATCAAAACAATTTAATCATTTAATAAATTACTTTCTAATTTTGTGATCATTGAGAATATATATATAAAATAAAAAATTAAAAATCAGAGCACTTTAAAAAGTTTAATTTAATAAAATACATATATTCCAATTTATTTCCGTTTTTAATTATTTTTCTGTTTTTTCATAACAGTTAATTTAATTCCGGTCTTATATTTTTAATATTACCTTTATCATTATAAGTAAATATTAATAATACTTCCGGCTACTTATATTATATAAATTATAAACGATCTATGCAATTTAAATAAATAAAAACGATACCTTTATTTGGAAAATTTAGTTTTAAAAAAAGTTTATGTTGGAAAATATTTTCGGATAAAAATAGAATCCTTAAATGAAAAACTTGTGAAGTTGGTAGTTATAAGATTGAGTAGGCTTGCGTCAGCCAAATAAATTACCAAAAATCGTCTATTTCCCAAAAAAGAGAAAAATGAAAATAAATGAGGTAATTAATAATAATTGAAAATAAGACTAAATTTATTTTTTAATTATTTTTTATGAAAATTAAGAAATTAATTTATAGAAAATTAATTGTTTTTTTTTGAAAAATTAAAAATAAATTTTTTTAAAATAATTTATCAAAGTTTAATTAATTCCAAAAATTATTTTATAAAAATATTTTCATTTTTTTAATTATTTAAAAGTCTAAATTGCACTATATTTTTTTATTTACTTTTAAAAAATTATTGCATCATTCATATTAGTATAAGCATGACGCTAAGAAGCATTTGGATACGCGCCAAATGAGGTGGGTGGTAGTGCTTGTCTGTTGCCTTTCTAAAAAGAGGGAAATAAAAGAAGAATAATATTTTTGTAAATATTCATTTAAATTTAGCATTTAAAAATTCTTTTTTAAATTTTTTTAAAAACAAAACACAAAAAATATATTTATTTTTTATTGTGTTTTGAAGTATTTCAATTTTATAAAATTAAATATGTATATAATTCCAAATCTAATTAATATTTTTTAAATTTTTATTATAAAATAAATATTTTTTAAAATTACTTCCTCACATTTTATTTACTTTAAAACTAACACAACCTTTTCTTATTTTTTAATAAAAATCTGGAAATATGTAATTTATTTTATTTTTTAATATTTTTAAAAATATTTTAGATTCTTTGCTAATTTTGAATTTATTTTTTAAAATAATTTAAAAAAATAATTTAAAGCAAAGCCAACAAAAATCGATTTTAAGACGTATTGCCAGCTACTTTATAATTTTTTTTTTCTTTTGGTTGAGTTTGGCCAATTTAAAAGAACAAAAAAACGTTAAACAACCAACAATTACTAATTTTTGTAATTTTCTTTTTCTAACCTCTAATTAAGTATTCCGTCGGAAGTTCCGGTTGGCCCAATTTGAATTTCGTTTTTTATATTTACGGTTCCGGCGGAACATTATCAGGAAATAAGAAATTATTTCCAATATCCTAATACCTATCAAAAATCTAAAAAAATTAAAAAGCAGTTGTATTTTTAATAAAAAATATAAAAATAAATATTATGTAAAACACAAAATTTATTATACAATAATTAAACCCAAAATTCAGTACTTTTCCCCCTTTCTTTCCCCTTTTCCTCATTTTCTTGTTCAATTTTTAATTGTTCATTATCTTCATTTGGAATCAAAAATTCCTTTCTCCTTCCATCTGCACTTCTTGTATTAGCAAATGCTTCATTAACTGCTGACGCTAATAATTGCTGTCTTTCTTTTGAATCATTTCTTTTTAATTAAAATAATTTCTCTTTACATTCAAAAAATTACCTCATTGAAAGGATACTTGGTCTAGATGAATCCCTCCTTCTTTTTGAATGTAAATCTTTTTCTTTTAATGTCCCAGTATGTAAATATGTTATATCTGATTGATTTGAAATTATTGAAGGAATTGTTGCTGTTGCATAATAAGCTGTAGATGATGGGGTAATTAATAATGGAAGTTCTAATTTTTTCTTTTTATTTTCTTCTCCAACATAAACACCCCCATCATCAGAATAAAATGTTGATTCTGTTTCTTGAGCAAGTTTTCTACTAAAAAAATAAAAAAGTTTTTAAGATTGTCAAACTTTCAAAGATTTTTGATAAGGCAAACATGGATTTAGAGAGAAGTTTCTCTCTCACTATTGTGAGAGATTGATGGTTATAAGAAGAAATGTCGAAGGAAATAACTCAAAAGTCCTCGGAAATCATAAATCATCGTCTCCTAATTCCACCGATATTTCTTGAAATTACACTTAATCCCAACAAATCCCCAGATAGCCAAACGAAAAAAAATATTTTTTGTTTAAAAATATCCTAGGGATATTTTAATATATTGTTACTTAAAAATATTTTGAAACTAGATTTGTCGTAAAAATTTTGTAAAAATTATTTTATTTATTTTTCATTTTTACATAATATTAAAAAATTGAATTTAAATTTTATTAATAATAAATTATATCTTATGGGTTCAGTTTATGTTAATTAGTATAATTCTGCTTAATTTTTGGGTCGAGGATTTGGTACCAATCCTCATAAGTACGATTACAGTTTTCGTGTTGTGCCGACGCTTCAGGCATCTTTTAGACAAAAGCTCCAGTTGGAACGATACTCTAAAAATTTTCGGAAATTTTCCCAAAATTTCGGAAATTGGAAGGAATAAACGTCGGCATTTGACCGACCTCTGTAGTTTATTAAAATAATTATCGAATTAAAGGAAGTTATAAATAATTCAAGATAAACATATTTAAACAATTCAAAATCGTTTCTACCAAAAAATATATTTGTTCTAATAATCAATCACCCAATCCTCTCCAATAAAAGTCAAAATAATTTTTACCTAACAATAGAATCCTTGTGTTGTTTATTATTTATAGCAGCATAAACAGTTGATTCTAAAATATTTTTTGGCCTTATTTCATTTTCTGTAACTAAACAAGAAGAGGGAACACTTAATTTTTGTTGATTTTTAGAAGAGTCCAAACTAGAAAAAAATAATACTAATTTTTTTTAAATAAAAAAATTCTCCAACTTTTGATTAATTCCATTTTCTGGGGCAGATTTTTTATGTTTAGAACTTCCATTTCTTTCCCTAAAACTATCAGTTCCATTTGATTTTTGTTGTTGATAACGAGTAGTATCATCCCCTTCTTCGCTACTAGCTATATCTTCTGGAGGGGTTTTCTTTCTACATAATAAAATACCAACAACTAGAAGAACTACAGCAATAAGAATAGCTATCTTTAAATAAAAATTTGGATTTATTTTTTAAAAGAAAAAAACAAACAGGAAAATGGTAATTCATGTCAGGTGGGGGAGGGGGAATTATTTGATTGTCTAGGAAAGTTTTTTGATTTTGTTGTTTTGGTTGGGATTTATATTGATGTTCTCTTTCTTCTTCAACTATTCCAGATTGGATTTCATTCACTGTATCTATATTATCTGATGGACGTATAATTATTGGCCAGTGAATTAATGCTGGCTGGACTCTGTCCTTTAAATTAATTAAAATTATTCAAAAAAATTTTGGGTGGAAAACAATTTTAAATTTTTAAAACTAAGCCAAAATTCTGAAATTATTTACATTACATTACATTTTTGCTGTAAGTTTATTCCTCGTCTCTAAATAATAACCGACCGATCTAAGTTCAAGAACAACATTATTAACAGTTCTATATTTAACATCAAAGGCATGAAAATATAATCTTCCGTTAACTATATCATCGTGTGTAAAAAATAAAGTAGATTCATTAGAATGTGGATGGACAAAAAATCTTCCATCTCTGGGTACTCCATCAGGTAAAATTAAATAACGAGGTGAGGAGCCCTTGTAAATTTAATATTTAATAAATTAATAAATATTTCTTCTTCTACTTCAAGTTCACTAGCATTAAGATGTGAAAGTCCAAGTTGCAATATTGTTCTCGAATTTATAACAAATGTTGGGGGTTTAAATATAGGCAAAACTTTAATAATTGCTTTCTTAGGAAGTAATTCTAATTCGTCATTACTTAATATAAATTCAAAAGAATCCTTTAAAATATTAGTTTTAAACAATTTTTCTAATTCTAATACTTGATATGAATTCATATTCATTTGTGAATACAAAACTTCATTATTGTCAATATTTAATTGTGTGAATCCATTTAATTCCTTTTCTCCATTTACCCAATAAAAAGTCCCATTTTCTGGGGGTTTAGTAATATTATAATAAATTCGAGATCTATCTCCATTCGATTCTGCACCCAAATGGGATCTTTAAAAAATATTTTTTTGAAGTAAAAAACTCAATTAAACAGTACCTATTTAAAATAACATAATTTTTTCCTTGAATATAAGTAATATCAGTGAAATTGCGTAATTGAAGAGCTAAAGGCTCAATTCTGATAATTAATACAAGAGAATGGCCTAAAAAGTGTTAATTTCATTAAAATTATTTTTTGGAATTTTAATCAAAAATTCTTTGAAAAAATAATTGCCTGAATCTAAAATCTTTCCGCCCTCTCCAATAATTCTTAAATTTAAACCAATAACATCCCAAGATTGTTTTTCATTTATTGGAGTGTGTTCTAACCAAATAGATCCTTCATTTATTTGTTTTTGAGTGAAATTAGCAAGGGAAGAAAAAGGAGATATAGATGGGGAATCCTCCTTTAAAATAATTCTAATTCCATTTTGAGGGGGTTGAATAATATTAAAATAAATAGAGGAATCATCAAGTGTTGAATGAGAGGCAGAAATTAAATTAGAATTTAATTGAATAGATCCTCCAGAAACTATAGACAATTCTTGAGGGAAATGGTGAATCTTTAAATTTTAATTTATTAAATATGTGGTTATTTCCCATCCAGCCACCATGTTAGGTGGCACTAAAGATGGCAGTTCCTGGGAAATCTCCGGATATCCGGAACCGGTACCCGAACCGAAAATTTTTGGATATACGGGGTTTTACCTTAGGTGGCACTGTTAAGGGAAACAGAGACAACCCCTCTCACCCTATGTTTATTTTTTAAGAATTCAAATAATTTTAATAAAATACTTTTAATAATTCTGATGCTTCAATTATATTAACAAACATTTCTATTTTTATTTCATTTTCACTATTTCCTATGTTTCCATAAATAATTAAAGTAAAATTATCTTCTTTATTTTCATTTGATTTATTTCCATTTAAATGTTTATATAATAAATAAGAGCCTGAATGAATTTGTTCAATATCCAATGCTTTGTTCCACTTTAATTAAAATTATACTTAAATTTATTTATTTAAGTTTACTTTATATTTATTATTTTTTCCATCCCCATTCATTCCTTCTTCACTTTCAAAATTCTCTAAATTGTCATTATCTAAACGTTGAAGCCAACCATTTTTTGGAGGTTTTTGTAATTGAATTAAAATGGAATCTTCTGTATATTCAGCCAATTTAGTTAAATTTAGATGAGATTTGTTGATGGAAACAGAGCCACCTGAGAATTATTTTTATTTTTGTCAATATTAGGAGAGATTTAGATTAGAGATGGTTTTTAGAATAATTACCGTATTTCCTAAAATAATACTCCCCCCTGAATTAGTACTCCCCCCTTAAATAATACTCCCCTTCGGAGGAGGGTTGAAAAATAGTACTCCCCCCTTAAATAGTACTCCCCTAAAATAGTACTCCCCCCTAAAATATTTTTTTCCTATATTTAAAAAAAATATAGTAGACTCAATGAATTATTTTATTGAAATTTATTTATTTATTTTATTTATTCTACATAAGTAGGTTGTCGGTTTCACTTGATTCTTCGATAACCGAAACCGAACAAGTTTCGGTTACCGAAAACGAACCGAAATTTTAACCTAAAATTTGTCGACGATTAAAGAGATATATTGTGATTAGTTGGTGGGATAAAAGTGGATTTGAGGATATAAGTGATTATATCGGGTGATAAAATGTGTTCTGGATTGATAAGTGGGGTCTAAAAAATATCATTGCATTATGGTTTCATAAACGAATTTGAGGGAATAATGAAGGATGAGTCATATTAGGCGATTTTGGTTGATTAAGAGTGATAAAGATATGAAATTTAATAATAAATCCTCCTTAATCCACAGATATTTTTTCGTTACCTCTAATCAAAAATACCCAGACATCCAAACACTGATATCCAACTTATCTCATTTGATCCCTGGTGCCCAAATATGGATATCATATAATTCGTAGGGATATTGGAAGAACAAAAGGAATATGAAAGATATCGGTGATTAATGCTGATAAATCCTTAGACACAGAGATTAGGACATCTCTAGACACAGGATTACACTAGACACAGGTAATCACTATACACAGGAGATTAGGTAATCTCCTGATAAATCCCCTTGAATGATGTCTAGGGGATTTTACGCATATCAAGTGTATAAATGTGTTCGGGAGTTCAAGATGGACGTAGAGTGTAAATTTAGATATCTAGTCTTAATCGCTTAAATCCCTTTATATCCCTCGATATCACTCCAAATCCACTAATCGAATCAAATCTTCCTGATCCGGCATTTTTAAATAACAATCTCTAATTCTAACATTTAGAATTTTAAAATAAATTTTCCTATAATAAATCATGGAGGAGGGTTGAAAAATAGTACTCCCCCCTCAATTAGTACTCCCCCCTTAAATAGTACTCCCCTTTGGAGGAGGGTTGAAAAATAGTACTCCCGGGAGTACTATTTTAGGAAATACGGTATTTAACGATCATTTTAAAATTTCTAGAAAAGCTTGGAGAGTCTTCGAGTTCTAATTAAAAGCTGCTAATTAATCGAGTAATCTCTCACCTTTTGTTACAGAAATATTTTTATTTTCAATTAATTTATTAATATCCTTCTTTTCAATATTTGAATAAGCATTTTCAATAATTAATTTAAATTCTTTAGAATCATTTTCGCCATTAAATGTATTTAATGACGGATATATTTTAAATCCAAATTCATCCATTAATTTCCAAGAACCTATTGACGCTGATGATTGATATATTAATTTATTTGAATTTATATCTGCTTCAGTAAAATGTTCCAATTTCTCTTTTGCACCTCTCAAAAACTTGAAAATTTGTTTTTATTTGAAATAAAAATGTATTTAAAAATTATTTTTTTGTTTAAAAGATTAGACTATTTAAAACACTAATTTTGTTATTACATATCCATGCGATTTTTGATCTATTTTAAAATAAAACGGCAACCTATCCCTTTCAGAGAGGATCAAATATTAAAAAAATTTCCAATCAACCATGATTTGTGGGAGTAAATGAAAATGTATTCAAAAATTTATTCAAAAATTTATTTTTTGTTTAAAAGGAGCCAGCTATTTTTGAAACTTAACATTAGAACTATTTAAAATACTATTTCGTTATCATATATCCATGCGATTTTTGATCTATTTTAAAGTAAAAAGGCGACCCATCCCTTTCAGATAAGGTCAAAATATTTTTTTAAAAATTACCAAACGACCATGATTTGGCTCCTTTTAAACAAAAAATAAATTTTTGAATAAATTTTTGAATACATTTTCATTTACTCCCACAAATCATGGTTGATTGGATTGATAATTTTCATTTGATTTATTTCCATTTAAATGTTTATATAATAAATAAGAGCCTGAATGAATTTGTTCAATATCCAATGCTTTGTTCCACTTTAATTAAAATTATACTTAAATTTATTTATTTAAGTTTACTTTATATTTATTATTTTTTCCATCCCCATTCATTCCTTCTTCACTTTCAAAATTCTCTAAATTGTCATTATCTAAACGTTGAAGCCAACCATTTTTTGGAGGTTTTTGTAATTGAATTAAAATGGAATCTTCTGTATATTCAGCCAATTTAGTTAAATTTAGATGAGATTTGTTGATGGAAACAGAGCCACCTGAGAATTATTTTTATTTTTGTCAATATTAGGAGAGATTTAGATTAGAGATGGTTTTTAGAATAATTACCGTATTTCCTAAAATAATACTCCCCCCTGAATTAGTACTCCCCCCTTAAATAATACTCCCCTTCGGAGGAGGGTTGAAAAATAGTACTCCCCCCTTAAATAGTACTCCCCTAAAATAGTACTCCCCCCTAAAATATTTTTTTCCTATATTTAAAAAAAATATAGTAGACTCAATGAATTATTTTATTGAAATTTATTTATTTATTTTATTTATTCTACATAAGTAGGTTGTCGGTTTCACTTGATTCTTCGATAACCGAAACCGAACAAGTTTCGGTTACCGAAAACGAACCGAAATTTTAACCTAAAATTTGTCGACGATTAAAGAGATATATTGTGATTAGTTGGTGGGATAAAAGTGGATTTGAGGATATAAGTGATTATATCGGGTGATAAAATGTGTTCTGGATTGATAAGTGGGGTCTAAAAAATATCATTGCATTATGGTTTCATAAACGAATTTGAGGGAATAATGAAGGATGAGTCATATTAGGCGATTTTGGTTGATTAAGAGTGATAAAGATATGAAATTTAATAATAAATCCTCCTTAATCCACAGATATTTTTTCGTTACCTCTAATCAAAAATACCCAGACATCCAAACACTGATATCCAACTTATCTCATTTGATCCCTGGTGCCCAAATATGGATATCATATAATTCGTAGGGATATTGGAAGAACAAAAGGAATATGAAAGATATCGGTGATTAATGCTGATAAATCCTTAGACACAGAGATTAGGACATCTCTAGACACAGGATTACACTAGACACAGGTAATCACTATACACAGGAGATTAGGTAATCTCCTGATAAATCCCCTTGAATGATGTCTAGGGGATTTTACGCATATCAAGTGTATAAATGTGTTCGGGAGTTCAAGATGGACGTAGAGTGTAAATTTAGATATCTAGTCTTAATCGCTTAAATCCCTTTATATCCCTCGATATCACTCCAAATCCACTAATCGAATCAAATCTTCCTGATCCGGCATTTTTAAATAACAATCTCTAATTCTAACATTTAGAATTTTAAAATAAATTTTCCTATAATAAATCATGGAGGAGGGTTGAAAAATAGTACTCCCCCCTCAATTAGTACTCCCCCCTTAAATAGTACTCCCCTTTGGAGGAGGGTTGAAAAATAGTACTCCCGGGAGTACTATTTTAGGAAATACGGTATTTAACGATCATTTTAAAATTTCTAGAAAAGCTTGGAGAGTCTTCGAGTTCTAATTAAAAGCTGCTAATTAATCGAGTAATCTCTCACCTTTTGTTACAGAAATATTTTTATTTTCAATTAATTTATTAATATCCTTCTTTTCAATATTTGAATAAGCATTTTCAATAATTAATTTAAATTCTTTAGAATCATTTTCGCCATTAAATGTATTTAATGACGGATATATTTTAAATCCAAATTCATCCATTAATTTCCAAGAACCTATTGACGCTGATGATTGATATATTAATTTATTTGAATTTATATCTGCTTCAGTAAAATGTTCCAATTTCTCTTTTGCACCTCTCAAAAACTTGAAAATTTGTTTTTATTTGAAATAAAAATGTATTTAAAAATTATTTTTTTGTTTAAAAGATTAGACTATTTAAAACACTAATTTTGTTATTACATATCCATGCGATTTTTGATCTATTTTAAAATAAAACGGCAACCTATCCCTTTCAGAGAGGATCAAATATTAAAAAAATTTCCAATCAACCATGATTTGTGGGAGTAAATGAAAATGTATTCAAAAATTTATTCAAAAATTTATTTTTTGTTTAAAAGGAGCCAGCTATTTTTGAAACTTAACATTAGAACTATTTAAAATACTATTTCGTTATCATATATCCATGCGATTTTTGATCTATTTTAAAGTAAAAAGGCGACCCATCCCTTTCAGATAAGGTCAAAATATTTTTTTAAAAATTACCAAACGACCATGATTTGGCTCCTTTTAAACAAAAAATAAATTTTTGAATAAATTTTTGAATACATTTTCATTTACTCCCACAAATCATGGTTGATTGGAAATTTTTTTAATATTTGATCCTCTCTGAAAGGGATAGGTTGCCGTTTTATTTTAAAATAGATCAAAAATCGCATGGATATGTAATAACAAAATTAGTGTTTTAAATAGTCTAATCTTTTAAACAAAAAAATAATTTTTAAATACATTTTTATTTCAAATAAAAACAAATTTTCAAGTTTTTGAGAGGTGCAAAAGAGAAATTGGAACATTTTACTGAAGCAGATATAAATTCAAATAAATTAATATATCAATCATCAGCGTCAATAGGTTCTTGGAAATTAATGGATGAATTTGGATTTAAAATATATCCGT